CTAATATTCTAGCAGAAGAGGTAGCCGTTCATCGGCTCTCGGGCAAGGCCTGGTCCAGCAGGGTGGGCGTGTCTGCCGGTTGCCCTGCTGGCTCTTCGCTCTTCGGAGCATGGAGGAGGAAACCTCGGTAAAAAACCAGAAGGTGGGGCCCTATAGGGGCCAGTTTCTCCGCTGTTAGCGGTGGAGAAAGGAGGACGGGCTCGGCGTGTACTGACACTACCACCGAGCAGGCAGGGGGACGTAGTCTCCCTGTCACCGTCGGCATATCGTAATCCCGAGAAGAGCGCTGTGGTCAAGTCTCGCGGCTCTGATCGGGGGCGAGGGTCTTGGCTTAACCGCCCGGACCGCGAGGATGCAAACCTCTCTAAAAAATGCCCCGAATCCCGTGTTCTGGTGCGTGGCCAGGGGATGCATGGCTGATGGGTAGTTCAGTCGTAAGCGCACTCCCAGCCGGGGCACTTGCGGACCCCTCGGTTGGGCATAAATTTACGCTTACCCGGGTATTGGGGGATCTCTGCCCGGGTGGACCTTTAGTTCTCCCCCACTCGTGGGTTTAATTATGGCAGATGATAAACTTAATAAAAACAAAGGATCGATTAATCAAATAACAAAAATGGCGAGCAAAATGGCAACCGAAACGGTGGGAAGCAAGGAGCTGAAGAGGACTGGTGGAGTGGATTCGTCGTCCACATCCACAAGTGAGGTGGTGTCGAGAACACCTATCTCGGTGGGGCTCCCAGTAGTAGTCTGTAGTAGACTGACTGCTGGGAGCCGAAGATCGGAGCGCTTGCGCTCCAAATCTGCCACGGCTGGCGAGAGTGGAGGCTCCAGCGAGAGCATGGAAGTTGAAGCGGGACCGAGCGAGAGCCGGAAACGCGAACTCGCGAGGGATGACGAGGACATCCCATCCGTGGAGTCTGGGCCTCCTAAGGGCGGCCGTATAGGGAGGTCGCGTACCCCTGTCCCCGTCCCGTCAGGGTCCGCCTTCTCCAAGGCGGATTCCTACAGACGGGTACGAGCGGACGGCGAGGCCGCAGCGGAGGAGGAGATCGCGGATCTCCTGCTCAAGATTCGGGAGCCGGTGGAGGGAGACGCCCCCCGAGCTCCCGTGTCTGTGCAGGAGAGGGCGAGGGCGGCGGTGGCTATCGTCCAGAAGGTAGCCACCAAGTCAGTTAACCTTAAGGGCTCTTTTGTGAGGGCCCTTAAGGACTCCTCCTCCGCTATGTCGGAGGTCGTGGAGGGCCTAGTAGGCGACGTGTCTCGCCTACAGATGGCCAATGACAGGCTGACGGAGCAGGTGAACGCACTGAGCGCTCAGTTCGCCCGCTTCCGGGCGAACCTCCCCGAGCGGGGGGCCCCGTCCACGCCTCAGCCTGTCCCTACCGCGACCTCAGGGGTGCCTGACGCCCAACTGCGGTCAATTCTTGACGCGGTTGGGCATATGCTAGACGGCCGTCTGGCCGGTCTGGAGGCAAGACTGCCCCCTGCGCCGGTCGTGCGCCCCCCGCTCGCGTCGTCGCAGCCGCCTGGGGCCGCTGCTCCGACTGCGCTCCCCGTAGTGGGAGGCCGCGTGTCCTACGCGGCGGCGGCGTCGGCCCCGACTCCACCGGCTCCCCAGGGGCCGAGGGGGGGGGCCAAGGCACCGGCCCGGGCGCCAGCGAAGGCGCCGGCCCAAGCACCGGCCAAGGCGCCGGCCCAGGTGCCGGCCAAGACGGGGCCTAAAGTGGCCCCGAGGAGTGCAGCGGAGTTCCCTCCGCTCCCCACTCCGACGTCCCTGCCGGGCCCCTCCGCACCTGCCCCCCCCAACGAGGGTTGGCAGGAGGCGAGGGGCTCAAAGAAGTCCCGAAGGCGGGCTAGAAGGGCTGCCCAAAAAGCGGCCCAAGCCCAGCCTTCACCACCGGTGACAGCGGCCTCGACTAAGAGGCCGCGGAAGCTGCAGCCGCCCAAAACCGCGGCTGTAGTAGTGACGCTGTCGCCGGAGGCGGCCAGTGGCGGGCTCTCGTATGCGGCCCTCTTCAAGGGGGCCAGGCCCGGTCTCGCCACTGAGTTCGGGGCGGCGGGGATGAGGCTGCGCCGGGCACAGACGGGGGCTCGAGTATTCGAGTTCCCTGGGGCGGAAGGCGCGGCGACGGCCGATAAATTCGCCGAGAAGCTGCGGGGGATTTTCGCCAGCACGGACGGTGTGAAGATCGCCAGGCCCACCAAATGCGCAGAACTGCGCATCTCGGGCCTGGACGACTCCATCACGTCAGAGGATGTCCGCGATGCAGTCATGGAGAAGACTGGGTGCACCGCGGACACCATCAGAGTCGGCACCGTCCGTCCGGGTCCGGGAGGCCTCGGTGCGGTGTGGGTGAGCTGTCCCGTGGCGTCGGCCAAAGCACTGGGCGACGCCGGAAGCATTCTTGTCGGCTTCGTAAATGCCAGAATCACGGTTCTGGCCGCGAGGCCGATGAGGTGCTTCAAGTGCCTAGCCGCGGGACACACTCGCACCAAGTGCGAGAGCTGTTTTGACTGCAGCGGATTATGCTTCCGCTGCGGTCAACCCGGGCACAAGGCGGCAGAGTGCTCTGCCGCCCCCCACTGCCCGGTGTGTGAGGCGGGCAAAAAGCCCGCCAATCACATGATGGGGCAGGGGGGCTGCAAGCCTCCCCGTGCTTCTCGGCAAACGCCGGGGGCTAGCCTGCCGACCCAGGCTACCCCCGACGTCAATATTGCGTCGACGTCGACGCCCATGGAGGAGGTTGTAGAGACGATCCAGTAATGGATCAAGTCTCCAACCTCCTGGTCCAGACGAATCTGAACCACTGTGCTGCGGCGCAGGATCTCTTCCTGCAAACCATGGCACAGTGGTCGATAGGTGTTGCCGTAGTCGCGGAGCCCTATTTCGTCCCTCCCCGTCCAAACTGGTTGGGTGACCGGGACGGCTCCGTGGCAGTCGTCGGCTCCACGGCGGCACATTCCCCGCCCTTGTCGCTAAGAGACAAGGGTACTGGATATGTTGCCGCCGATTGGGGGGGAATCACCATTTATGGTGTATATTTCTCCCCCAACCGGAGCTTGAACGACTTCGAGGTCTTCCTTAACAACTTGGAGGCCTCGATGCGGCGACTAGTGTCTGGGCACGTCCTCGTGCTGGGGGACTTCAACGCAAAGTCCATTGCGTGGGGTTCCCCTGCGACGGACGCCAGCACGGGACCCTTTCCTTCCGGCTGACGCAGGTGCTTTCCGGGCACGGTTGCTTCGGAAAGTACCTGTACTCGGTCGCTAGGAGGGAATCGAGTCCCGCCTGCCACCACTGCGACTGCGGTGAGGATTCGGCCCAGCACACGCTGGCGGTTTGCCCCGCATGGGCGACGCAGCGCCGGGCCCTCACTGCAGTCATCGGAGTGGATCTCTCGCTACCGGCCGTAATTCGCTCCATGGCCGGTAGCGACAGTTGTTTTACCGCGGTCGCAACCTTCTGCGAGGAGGTAATCTCGCAGAAGGAGGCGGCGGAGAAGGCCCGGGAGGACGACCTCCACTCGGACCTGATCCGCCGCCGGCGAACCGGGCGGCGGAGGCGCGCTCACCTGCGCCTCATGCCGCCCTGAGTGTGGCCGCGGGTGGACGGGATGGGTTCTCCCCTCCACCCGCATTAGTTGGCCAGCCGCGAGGGGGCGGCGTCCGCGTGTGCCGGACGCCGCCTTAAAAGAGAGGTCCTGGAGACGGAGCCCGCACCAGGAGCGGGCTGGCGCTGGGAGGGGTCCAGAAGGCGATAACTACCTGGACCCCTCCTAAACTGGAAGCGCAAAGAGGGCACACCGTGTGGTTTTAGTCGGTTCGAGTCCGACACACCGCCCCGCCGAACGAGAGCCCCGGCGGGGTGACGGTCCGAGGGGATTTCCACACGTAAAAAAAAAAAAAAAAAAAAAAAGTATTGTCGGGTTATTTAACCGCCGCCCGAGACCCGGCGTTGAGGTTCGTTTAGCACCACCCGGGGGGCACGTGTAGGGTTTTCTTCAGGTATCCTTCCTACGGACGCGAACCAGTCCACCCCCCATACCATTATTAGCGCCGAAAAGTTAATAATGTTTTCAAAGTTATATTAGGCACTAGAAGATTTTGAGTCAAATAGAATATATTTCTACTTACGTTTCAAATAAAGATTTTTTTCAGTTACATAAAAAAGATAATGTCAGCTCCATAAAAATAAATTAAATTATCTACTATGATATTATAGCATCGCGTCATATGACGACCGGCTGGCGTAGTGGCTTGTACAACGGACTGTTATTTCAAAGGTCGCGGGTTCCATTCCCCCTTAAGTTAACATACATACATGCATGCATATTCTAAATTCGTTAATTATTAGTCGGGATACAAGTGTTGGTTCATTGTAGTTTATCGAAGAATCCCATCAATTCCATTCTCAGCCATGGCATAACAATCACTTGTCTCCTATGTTTTCATAAATCGAATATTTTATTGTGACTATTGTTTAGTCTTTTAAGAATAGCTCACTAATCTTAGTTATTAATAAGAATGAATACCTATCATAGTAATAAGTATCAATATTACGAATAGGTATTATACGACAGAATCATCTTTAACAATTGTGGGATATGATTTAAATAAATACAGTTCTGTGTAGAACATAGGAATTCAGTCATAGGCAGAACGTTAGCGAATCATGTTACGGTTGAAGTCTACGGAACTTTCTTTTTGTTCTATCATATTCCTTTTTTCTTTAGCCATTGTGTAACTTTAACTGGTTTTTGTTTTAGATGATCCTGCCTCATCGGATTCCCACGTTTTGTTCAATAATACTCATATTATTATTACAAGCGTCGCTTGATGCGAAAACTACGGAAATATGTCCAATCGGATTCCAGATAAGCTATACCAAAGACGGTAAAACACCTATCTGTTATCGGTTGAAAGGACCAGAAACATTTACAGATGTGTTTAAAGATTGCACCGGCAATTTGTATACGGCAAAGTTATATGATAACTTAATGATGAGTAATCATACAGAACTAGTGTTATGGACTGAATACAGATCAGTCTATCCGGGTGGGCCCTTTGTTGATGTCTCTTATACATCAACTGCTGGATCTCTTCTAGAAACCAGCTTTAATGTTTCTAATTCTCATCTTGGAATTGAAGAGGAGCTGTGCGTGGCTAAGGATCCAGTTGGCAACTACACAGCTGAGAGATGTGATAAAGAGTACTATAGATACTGCTTTGTGGAACCCTATACAGATGATCCTGATTCTGAAGGATGTAAAGGATTGATAGGCGGTATTAGATTTTATTCTCCTAAACCAATGTGTTTAACTGCGCTTCTTGGGGCTCGTGGTATGGGTGTTAGAGCAACATGGATGCAATCACACGAAAAGTGTGCAAAAAACGGAGGACAAATTCTCTATAATGGATGGAGGTATTCGAATGATCCGGTCTTACATCTCTCTTCTGCACACACTAGAGTTTATCCTCTGCGTGTGACATATGATCCTATGCGGAATATAACTTTTCCGAGCGTTGCGGAAAGTTTGGTAAGTTGTGTTTATGTTAAGTCTAACATATGGATGAGGTCGTACAAGTTGTTTATGCAGAGCTATAGTAATAATACCAATAACTTACAACTTACAATAACACAGTCATGTGGTCGTATATTAGGCAGAGCCTAAACTATAGAGTGCGGACTGATGATAAAATAATGCCTTTAAGATCAGATCGCATCAGATGAAATAGCTTATAAAACTTGGTACATCAGTAAATAGTTTATAAAACCCAGCAAAAATCACGTCTTTACGTAATTTGAACATGAATAAAGATTTTATATAAAACTTTAAGTGGCGTTTACTACTAAATTTTCTCTAGCTTATCTATTGGCCGATAATATTATTTAACTACAGGGCTTTATAAGACAGCTTAATTAAGATCGCTATTATTTCAATCATGAAACGTCAATGGCTAAAGATATTCTATTATTCAGCAATGGCTCGTGAGTCCTCTGTTTAATGGTATGATAATTATTGTTAAAAAATATGATAATGTTAGAATAGAATAGATTATAAAGATGATAATAATGAATATGAAATAATTTCTGTGAAAAATAGTAAAATAATTTAAAATTTGTGTTCAAGATTCGTGATAGGTGCTGTAGACCTTGAAAGGTCTATAGACTTTTATGGGAAAGAGTGCTCAACTCAAGAAGACGCGTATGAAACTATCATATATACAGAATTTAAAGATATGAAAATTTATGTTGATGGATAGATGGATGAACGGAAGGAAAAATGTATGGACTGATCTTTGTTTTTCCTTCACGAAAAAATACTTAGCGGATCTTTATGAAACCTTACAAATTTGTCACACTCGAATAAAGTCTGTAATGAATGCATGCAGGCGGAGAGATACATGATACTTGCCATGTTTGAACAAACTACTATGTAAAAGTAGTTTCTTCAAAAATGGATATTCAAAACAAGGTTCTGGTGTTGTGTTCTTAGAATGTTTGTTTTCCTAATGTAGCAATGGTACTGTGGAGGTTGGGCGCCCTACAAGTTTCGAAAACGTTGGATTGAAACACATCCCTGTACTTATGATAACGAACATGAAAAAAAGCGATTCATAGATACAGTGACGGCGAAGTGGGTGCGCACTTTTAGATATTACACTAAGTCACTAATTCGTTTTTGTTATTGTGATCACTAATCTTGCTACCTCAAGTCAGCTCAATGATGCATGTGAAAAAGTAACTTACACTTTAATTTCAGTATAGCTTTTCATTGTACTATTTGCAACAGATTATTTGAAAATACAACAATTTGTTACGAAAGCCAAATTCTTAATTAACAATTGCTATTGTCTGTTATGTGTACGTTGTTTTATTGTCTCATGTTTATTGTATGTGTGCTTAGATATATTTTTATTTACGAAAACTGCAAGTTATATTAATTTAGTAATAAAAAGGTTTAGATATTCAATCAATTTGATTTTCTTTAACTCTGTGTGTCATACTTACAGTTAAATACGTGTACTTACACCTCATTTTTTTTCCTCCATGGAGTCTATTGCAAGGGACTCGCGTATACCCTATGAAGGAAGTCCCTGAGAGGTGCGGGGAGAGGCCTATTTCTACCAGGCCAGCGCTCATGGAGGCTTGAGATCGTTATGTCCCCTCCCGTTTCCTTCCCGCCGCCACTTTAGTGTACGTCACTTTCTCACTAACAGAAACGGCGGCATCCCACGCACTCTCACTTTGGACCTTGGCCAGAATCATAGTGCCCAGTGCGAGGCTCCCTACACCAATAGCCACCACGAGGTCGAAGCATTGTTGAGTCCACGCCGAACACTCAATACTCTACGCAGTAGCGTATGAAGTGCAGTATTCCTGCGACAGCCTCCGCAGTGATAGCATGGAGACGTTGGCTCCCGGCCTATTGGGCACAGTTACTTTCCGGCCGGTCAGTACCCGTTAGCTAACACGACGGGTTCATGTCAATCCTCCATTACGGGTCTTACCGTCGAAATTGTGGCGTGTCATTCGCTCGGTCGCCCAAGTTGATCTTTAAATTTCACCAATAGGAGCTGAGTGCTGAGTGCTGATCTTTGCTGCTCGATTGCCCGAGGAGTGGGTCTCAGGTCCTGCTCCTTACTATGCATACCTCATGCATAAAAATTTCGATATTTTATTAATTAAATTTATTGAAGTTCTAACTTATCCCTCAAGGTAACTGATAATAACAGATAAATGTTAATTTTTTATAAAGAAGTCTTTTAAGGATATTTAAATAATAATTTGAAGTGTATAGGTACAAAACACTAAACATATTTGATAATTGGATCACCAAAATTATGATATCGTAAGAAAGAAGCAGTGAGGTTTAGGAAAAGCTTGTAAAATAAGTAAAAAAATAGACTGTACATGTACATAGCATGTTAAAACGGATATTCCTGCTTAAAACACCTGGCAACTAAGTTTCATACTATAATAGCTTAGCACGGCTTTTTGCTTTATTAGTCCATGTTTAGAAAAAAAACCGGTCAGGTACAAGTCGAACTCGTGCGCCGAGGGTTCCGTTCCTACCCAGATTTTGCGTAGATTTTCGCGAAAATTTGTAAGTACCAAAATTTATCTTAATTTTCAACTTTTTTATTTTTACGTTTCTTTTTGCCAAATTTCGTGATTCTAGGTCAACGGAACTACCAAATAGGTTTTCGACCCAAAACCTATAGGGTACTTCCGGTTGACCTAGAATTGACAGTTTTGGTTAAAATCAAGGTCTTACAGTACAAGTAAAGAGAAAATTCTGAAAAATAAAAAAAATGTTGAAAATTAAGGTAAATTTTGGTACTTACAAGTTTTCGCGAAAATCGAAATTTGCCCAATGTCTTTAGTTGACTCAGGACATTGATTTTTATGCACCCAATAAGGACTATAGACCTCAGTATCTGGTATAAATTTCAACTTGCTAGGTCTACCTGTTCCTGAGAAAATCGGTGGTGACACACGGACAGACAGATAGACAGACGGACAGACGGACAAGAAATTAATCTTATAAGGGTTCCTTTTTTACCTTTTGAGGTACGGCACCCTAAAAGCTCCTGTATTTTATACTTGAACAACTTAACCAGTACTCATGTACTTGTTCAACGCCCGTCACCTGAATATAGGACAATTCTTGTAACGTAATATGACAGAAACTATTTTCAGTTTTATTTAATACTATTGAATTATCTATATAAAGACAGATAAAAAAAACAGTACTTTATTGTTTTTTTTTATCTTTATATGGGGTTACGTACCTTAAAAGGAACACGGCTTGTAGAATCATTTCGTTGTCGTTAGTTAGCATGTCTTTATCAGGAATACGTAGAAATATTAAATTGAAATTATCAAATATGTATTTCGGTCCCTAAGCTGTAAGTCAAGTAAAATTTTGACTGCACGGATGGCGTAGTGGTTTAAGCGGTCGCCACGCCGCTTCCTACTACGCCGAGTGTTGTGGGTTCAAACCCCACATGGGACGACACTTTGTGTGATCCACAAATTGTTGTTCTGAGTCTGGGTGTTCTTTGTGTCCGTTTCATGTATGTTTGTAAAGTCCCCCGCGACACAGGATTTATTCCTAATGCGGGCGTTGTCTTTTAAAAAAAATGAAAATGAAAAAATGAAATTAAGCTTCTAAATCAACGCATCTAAAATATGCGATACCACTGAAGTCTTACATTTTATCCAATTTTAACACTTCGCAAATCAATTTAAAGTTATGAGGGTACTTAAGTTTTAAGTTTATCTTTGAATCTGTAAGATACCAATATTATATATTTCCTCTGACAAATTTTGATAACCTTAAAATATTTGTTTGTTTTACCGATTCGTGCGTCTCTGTAGAGGAAGAGAAAAGGAAACGTAATAAAAGATTAAAGTTCCACAAGGCCTAGTCTATTACAAGCTATCTAAAGTTTTAAGTGTTGGTGATTTGAAAGTGTGTATTCTTGCCAATTTTAAATGACGAAATCATTAGTACATCAAATCTAAATGTAATAGTAATGCAGCAATCTTACTGATTCCATTTTAAAATTAAAAAGCTGGTTTTAAACTCCTACTCTTTCATTTCTACAAGTAAAGCTTGTGAGTAAAATCTAGGCACCTACTTTCTATAATATTTTTAATGAGTACAAAAGATTCAAGAACCCCTAATATGACCCTAAGTATAGAATCTGGTACATAAATAATAATCTATTCAAAAAATCAAAACATCATCCAAGTATACATTACCTTACGGTAAGGGATTCTTTTATTCAAGATATAGAGATGACTTGATACAACGCAATACTTCACTGAATCAAGACAATTTTATGTGAATTTTATTAAGATTAATTGCTTAACTATTTCCCAACTTCTAGATTGAGCCAAATACTGCCTCAAATGAAACACAATATGGTATCATACAAAACGATGTGTGGGAAACAACCAATAGTTCCTATGTATTCTATGATGTCATTTGTGAGAAGGAGGCGAAGCGCAGAAGCGTTACGTTTGTAGTTAAAACTGATTAGTGAGTATTACTGTACGAATTTTTTGATTAACTGACTAAGAAAAAATATTGTGCCTTTATCTGTAAAGTCTATATCTGTTAATATATTAATGAAATCTTCTACTGTTATTGTTTTCAGCGAGAATAGGCTGGTACTAGTACCAAGTGGAACCGTTGAAGCAGATGACATTCTATGTTATACTGATTCTGTCACATATTATCCAACGCGTGTCAAAATTCGTCACGACGAACGTTCACGTACTTATATTCTATCACCGCCTGATGATGGTAATTATTGGTGCGTTTACAAGGATACTAAACGATTTTATGTTACAAAATCTAATAAATATCTCTGGATTAGGGAGAAAGAGTCTTTAAAACACAGCTACGCTGTCACAGTCAAGTTTGAAGAAGAATATACTGTAGATAAAATAGATGATAGTCTGAAGATTTGGGAAAGGAAGCTCAAAGATTACATTTTCTATTCCACGATGTACAAAAACAGTACAGGAATCTATGACTTGGACTTGGATAAAGATGATCAAGATACTTTAGAACTGTTCAAAGTTGAGCATCCTGAATTGAAATCGAGGAAAGAAAAAATGTTTTTCAAAACGAAATTGAAACAGTTATATTTAGATAGGAAAACAGTTTTATTTCATGTTCAGTTGGATCCGACAATGAGGGCTGTCGCGCCAGGTTCGTGGTCTTTTATGACGGTTAATATTATGAATCCAGTGCTTTACTGTTCAAAGGGAAAAGAGCAATTCGGTGAGTATTTTAACCATTAAAATTTTTCATGATCTAAGCAACGGAAACATCGTAATGATACGCTCTTGACTCGACTTTAAAGTTATATTAAATGGCCGCCTAAAACTGTTTTTCTTTTGCGGTCGCTTTCTTTTGATACGCTATGTCGCCATTAAATTATATTATTATCTTTCTAGTACGTCTAATTTACTTTTGTCGGGGCCTGTTAGATTAGTGTAGTGCCCGTCTAATTAGTAAAATTTATTCTCGAGTGACATAGTGCAGGGGTCAAGGAAAGAATAGTCACCATAGTTCTAACACATTACTGTATCATTGTAGATTCTGTTCAGTAATTTTAACAAATGCTAACAAGCAACTTAAGCTCAGAAGGCCAACTTTCGATCTCACAACCGTCATAAAAGGTATTTTCTTAGCCCATAAAAAAATACGTAGAAGAATTCATAGTTATAATTTACCTTGATGCCACAACATAAAGAATATTTATTAAATATAAAAGTTTCATGCCTAATAAACACGTTATTTGTGTCGCTTGACTGACTCACTGGCCGACTTAGTTCATTATGTTTCACATATTCTCTCTCGAGTATATCGTACAAACACCAATATATGTTAAATATAATATAAAGGCAATAATGTACGCAAAAAGAAAATATACATTTTTATAATACAATATTTAGAAAGATTTTTTTTTGAAAATGGGGAAGAAGAAAAAACCTTTATAAATACTTTTTTTCAGTTCACAAAATAACGACAAAATGCGAGATTCACTCCTGTGTTGGCAATTTCAATACGGGGGTAACTGTGCTGACGACCAGTGATGAAATCTGTAAATTGGAGAGTGAAGCCTCATTAACCGCCAATGTCACGGTCCGCATGACCGAGTCGTACAGAGATGACGTAAGTTATTACAAGGGAAGATTCTGAGGGCAGAATTTGTATTTAATATTACTAATATTGGTGTCTAATTTTGGACACATTATTTCATTCATTTGCAACAGCATGTTTAATGGCAACATATGTCAAAATGTAAAAGTATCAATCAAATTAAAAAAAAAAACTCTTTCATAAAACGTTGTTACGAAAAAAGGGCACATAATAAAAAATCTGCCAAATTGGTAAAGTTATGCTCTAATATACATATTTTCAGAATTTTATTTATACGTACGTACATGAACTTTTGTCAGAATGTGTCTGTACGTATTTAATTCCTTTTCAAATTTCGATACAATTTTAAATATACATATAAATACATAAAATGTAATGCTGTGGACATAATGCTATCTTATTATGAAGTATTTGAAGTAAATAAACTAACTCCATACAGCTCTCAAACAGCTGCAATTTTCATCTGCCAAGCAAAAATAATTGTTGACATAAAGTGATAAGTTGGATAAAATTTGCGTTTGTTGTAAAACGCGGTTCAACTAAAATTGTATCACAAATACAGAGTGAAGTACAGAACATAACTTATACGAAAACTGTCCGTCGACGAAGACGAACAAATGGTTCACACAAGAAGTATTCTAAACTTTTCAGATTTTTAAGCCTGCAATAAAAATAACCACGAACATTATTTGCAAAGCATGGCGCAAACTAATATCCACAATTACTTTATAGACCTCACCAACAATCAGAAGTAGCAGCTCTTCAGAAGATTCTGATGAGGAAGATGACACACACACAGTCGAGCCAACTCGATCTCCCAATAATACTATCCCAACACCCTCCTTCAATATTACTTACCCAATACCTCCTTTTGATCCAATCATAACAGCTGAACCTTCTTTTCCAACGATTCCAAGCACAGAACTGACTACAGAAATACCATCTACTACAGAAATACCATCTACTACAGAAATACCATCTACTAGTCAAATACCAACTACTACATGGCGAGTAAGTCTACATTTGTGTCTTCCCTCTAGTGATTTCGTCAATTCCGGTAGTGTGTGTCAGAAAGCCGGAGAAGCACGCTCTATTTTATTTGGCTAATGCTGCTAGTTGTACGTCTGGTACATGAGATGTCAGATGATACTGAGCATCATCATCATCCACAGCCCAACAGTCCACTGTTGAACATAGGTCTCTTTTTAGAAAGGAGGTTTTAGCCAACTATACCACGATGGCCAGACAGGTTGGTATAGGGTTTGTTTCAAGTCTTCCTTCACCTTGCAGTGCTGCTCTCGTGCAGAGTTTGCTCCATTAGTCGGCTCTTACGGCGATACTCCGTATTCTTAATCCGTCATCACACGGATAACTCTATGAGACTCATCATATTCGGCAAAACTCATTCATTTTTAATTTTGATTGGTTATTTGTTTTTGCTATTGTTTATTGTTGCACAATTCCAGCAGCCAAAATAGCCAAAACTATGAACGTACATAAGTTTCCCTTTTTTCCGACTATTGTAGAGTTTGATAGCGTGAAAAACGCTGAGTTTCATGTAATATTGTTAAAGCAACTTCTATTATCTATACATATCAAGTTACGTAAGCAGACTTTCGTAAAAACAGTAGATACCACACGTACCAATGACGAATAATAGTGTTCTTCTAGTTTTCGCTTATAATAATCGAAGTAAACAGGGTTGATTAGATTGAATGTAGGTTTATCATTTAAGTCAAAATGGACGTGCATATTTAGAAAGATATAAGTATGTTCATTAAAAATATATGTGCCGAGATGATGGCAATAGGCTTGCCATCTAATGTGTGAATGGTACTACAATAAATATAATCAGCAAAATGTAGGCATTTAATTTGCCTCTGACTACCCCTTCAGAGATAACGACGTAAGTGTAAGGGACTTGGATGTAGAAATTGAGGAAGTTGCTGATAATGCTGATGTTTACATTTTCAGCCTGATGAACAGTTGCAGCAAGTTATGGATAATCTTGAACTGCTCTTACTGAACGACACAGTTCCAGTTGGCAATATTACTCAGTCATTTGATCAAGTAAGTATACACTTCGTGCATCGCTGCATTAGAAAGCCGAAATGAATTAAGGTCTAAATATTACTGGAGAATGCTACTTTTTCAGGTTGATCAACTTCTTGAAAATGATATGAACTTGGAAATACCTGGCCGTCTTCTGAGACTGTTGGACAGGATCGGTAAAAATTTAAAGTTAAATGGAACTTATTATGCCCGAGAAATTAGAAGTAATGTAGCTCTGTTGGTGGCGGACGCTGATCCAAGAGCCCCTGTGAATGGTCTCAGAATAGCTACCAGAGACAATGATTCCTTCACTGATGAAGCCTTTGAGTTTATTCGCGGTAAGATGTCAGTTTGCTAAGCAAGATTTAATTAAACTGAGAGCTTTTAGATTAAAATGACTATTAGTACTAGAGACTGCCTAGTGACCGAATGCCGACCATAATTCATTACGTTGGTTTATTTTACATTATTCACCATCATAATTGAACTGTCATTTCACAACCTTTCTGAACATAACTCAATTGCTTTGCCTATTAAAATAAAAAAATGATCATAGATCTAGGATAATGGACGTTTCTATCAGCAAACACTTTTCTAAATTTGAAACCGAAAACTAAAGGATGAAATGACCACCGAACTATTAGCCCTCGAAATCAACTACCTTTTGTGTGCAGATATCCCATGTTTCAACTTCCGTATATTTTTCACATAGATGAAGTAAACTCCAGCCAACTCAACACTGACGCAAGTGAAGCAGTGGTCCAACTACCGAACTCAGTGGCCAACTCGTCTCGCCGTATTAGCTTCGTAATATTTCGTAACGACCGAGCCTTTCAAAGCAACGTTACTACTATGAGCGTTAATAGCAGGATTCTGAGCATCAACGTTGAAGACACTTTAGAATTCGAGGCCGGAGAGGTATATTTATTTCATATCTTTTCTTCAATCTCAAAAAAGTGTTAGTTTTACATTTTTGTATTAATACTCGCAATAGAAAAACAAGATAATATATTATGCCACCATTACTTTAATTTTTAATAACTAGTATTTTTCCACGCACTGGATGTTTCATGTTTGATAACACGAAATTTAAAGAACCTTTTTTTTAAATTTATAATTAAGTAGGTATATATTTTTTTTATACTTTGAGTCTACTAGATTTGTAAGACTTAGGGCCTCACTTATAAATTATTTGATTTGACAATTTTTCCATTACAGTTTATAAACATATATTTTCGACCTCTAAGTGAAGCAGCTCGCAACCAGACTCGTTCCTGTGGCTACTGGAAATTCGACGATGAAGATAGTGTCGGCTACTGGTCACAGGACGGTTGCACATTTATCGAAGCAACTGAATCTGGAATGATGGATACTTGCCAGTGTACACATCTAACGCACTTTGCTGAGATCCTGGTCTCTAGGACTTTGTTTTCTGAATCAGACGAAACGATCCTAGAAATCTTATCTGTAGTTGGATGCTGCCTATCCATCTTCGGTCTGACCGTGGTGGCCATAACTGCCATTCTATTCAGATCCTGGCGAAGAGACTTTAACAACAAAATCTGGTTACAACTATGTGTAGCAATTTTGCTACTCGTTATATGTTTTTTGATTACAGTTTTTATAAAATTCAGAACATATACCTTAGGATGTATGTTCTTGGGAGTTATAATACATTATTCTGTCCTAGCATCATTTTGTTGGATGCTGGTGGCCGCTGTAGTATCGTATAAAAGACTAGTAAAGGTGTTCACCCGAGACGCCTCCCATAAACTACTTAGAGCATCAGCGTTTGCCTGGGGAGTTCCGATAGCCGTGGTCGGGATTCTCCTTGCATCGTCTCCAGGTTCTTACAGGGGGCAATTCGAAGACATTAGCCCTACAGGTAGTTTCTGCTATCCTTCAGGGTTAGGTCTTTGGCTCGCCGTCTATGCTCCTATAGCAATCATGTTGCTTGCAAACTGGATCCTATTCATTCTGATCCTACGATCCTTGTTTGGTCCTAGAGGAATCGATAGACATGGAGATACCAATGAAGCTAGGCGTTGTGCTTCAGTCAGCTGTCTCCTAACATTTCTCTTCGGGCTACCTTGGATATTTGGCTTATTTGCAAGCAACGTCGTAGCCGCTTATTTTTTTGCTTTAACAGCTACATTCCAAGGATTCGTACTGTTCATATTTTTTGTAGTAGGAAATAAAAAGACTAGGGATCTTTGGCTGAACAAGTTAAAGATCAGACAATCTTTGAGGGTGCCAGTTACAGTGTCAACTTATACAAATCGTAGTACTGGCTTGTCTGGGCCGGGCTGGCGAGGAGGAGCTGCAAACACTGTTGAAGGCAAAATTTCCAAGCCCAAATCATTATCAAGCAGTGATAACAGTAGATTCTCCTGACTACAATCGTAGTCAGTAGCAGTCGAGAAATAGAAGTTATGTCTCCCCGTGAACTGCGTGGGAAGGTCCTAAGGGGTCGATTATTTCATCCTCACAAACTAGATAATAATAATAAAAAGTGCCTTGAGATTGCCGACATCCTGGATAGCAAAGAATCGTTCTCCATTGCCGCATACACGTCTCCATAAAAGTGCATAGAGTTGTATCAATCTTGTACAACTCCATCACCCTCAAGAGCCACGTATGCGGTACAGAGTCATAATGTATCCCACACATCTCAAACACTGCCGTCTGATCCCAAACAACGCAGAGCCTGTACTATGGTAACCAGACTGCTGATAAACATACTTATATAGTTTTAAATACAGATACAGAACACACAATATTTGTCCTGGGTGGGAATCGCACCCACGACCTCCGGTTTAGCAGTCAGGGTCACTAACCACTAGACCAACAGGCCCGTCAGCCCGTGACAGATATATCAATTAATTATCATGTACCGATAAGCACTGATTTTTTGTCTTGTCTTGTTGACTACCTTATCTATTCGCCTTCACTTGATGAAGGATGTATGATATACTATTAGAAATATTATTTCAGACTATATTTATATCCACGTGCCGCATCTAAGTGATTAAGAAATGGTTTTTATTAATCTCGATAAAATCCAATATTTCTTAAACTGTAATTGTTTGTCTATTTTTGGTGGATATATTTATAAATTTATTATATTTGAAGTAAATATTTCAGTGACGGGTCCAGGAAGTTGCACTTAAATTAAACTGCAACTTTTTTAACTTACCGTAACGCTGTCGATGATTTTGTTACATGTTTACTAAGTAGAAAATGTTGTACTTTGATACCCCTACATAATATACCATCATCAACAGCCAGTAATAGTCTACTGCTGGACATAGACCTCTCCTTAGGAAGGAGGTTTTGGCCTACTACATAATACACCCCATTTCGCCTTATTCGTGGAAAACAGTTTTGTTGAAAACTGGTTGCGGTTAAAGGGGTAGACTAACCATACGTTTTTAAACAAGTACATAATCAGTCCAGCCGTTGAGACCTTAATTATAATGAGAATATTTAAAAAAAACAAATTTATACTACGGTTCTATGCCAGCTATCGATGGGTTTAGGTTGATAAAAAATACGTATATGTTTCAATTTTTTATTTGTAAAACTTTGGTTGTATAATATTCACCCTAATATATTTATTGACCCTGTCAGCCCTGCTAGGATCAGTGCCCCGGTTGACAGTATTAGTCATTATCACTATCCTATTCTAGTCTCCATTTAAATATTCGTTAAGCTTCAGCACTTATTTATATTATTGGCATTTGTCTGCCAAAGAATCTGTTTGTCCTGATAATGAAATACCATACCATCGATGTTAGTTTGCGATCACACGGTATAATTAAAAGCTGTCCGCTGTGAAGTTAGTTGGAAATGGTAAGCATGAGTTACCAAGTAATTATTAAAATTACTTTTTATATTATTTAATATAGCAAATGCTATGTACCTACTTGTATTTAATAGAGATATAGATGTATATAATATAACGTGTATTATATTTAATTATATAAAAGACTAAGAGTAAAGTTAATTTATTAAGATGTAGAAGATAAAATAAATTTTATATTATATAAACTACTAATCAAAGCCAAGATTATTTAAATAAAATAATAGAAGTTTAAAGGTAAGAAAATAATTTAAAAATGTATTGATATACTTATATCAATACATTTTTAAATTATTTTTATACATCAAAGAAAGTTCTTTGATGTATAAAAATAATAAATTTATCGTAATCGAATGATTTCTCCCAACGATTATACAAGTTTGATTTTTACGTTATAATTATATCCGCTTAATTTTTCAATGGCGAACTCGTGGGTTGTAAACTATACATTAGGTCCATAACTTGTATGTACGCTGCCTTTAAGTTAGATTCCTAAAACCCAAATACACAGAAAAATCACTAATGATTTCAAGTTAGTCGAAAATCGACTATTTTATTCGATTATTAGATTTTTTATTTAGATTGTGTTCTGATTAATTGGATTAAAGTTGTTTTAGTTTTGTAATTAGGTGAGAGTAGGTTAGTTGATGATACCAAAAATATAATTAATCTATTTTTTCTGGATTCTATGTATTTAATAATTTTGTTTTTATGAATGAAAGCGTATACAACATTTTCTTACTAATATATATACATTACGAATTCCTTGTATGTATATTGTAAGCGGAAACTAAGGAACATTAACAAAGAGCAATAGTAAGTATTACTAAGACTAGCAGATTATCGATTCACATTTCGATCACAAAACGATTTAATCACATTAAAGTCACTTTTGAATGTTTAATACTTTACTACGACAATACTTTTTTGAGATTTGTGAGATCGACAGTTGATCGGAACTGATTCTTTGACCTTCAGGACTTAATCGATTTAATTACAAAATGTACAATGGATTTTTTGGTTATGTGGCGTTATGATCGATCACGACGGGTGTCATCACGTGAATGATACCGGTTATATCATTTTTTTTAAATACTTTAAAGTCACATAAAACTAATATCTGTGGTAATAGGTATTATATACTGGCAAAGGTATCTCTCCTGAAAGGTATTAATGTTTTTTAAAAAGAAATGCACTTTTTAATTAGTGGAAAAAATATATTCATTAACTTAGGGCACAAAATAAAAATAAATACTTGATGATACACTTTTAGAGAGAGCTGCAAGTCATAATTGAGTAAATTATAAATATATATAAAAATCTAAAATCGAAAATATTAAATATTAGAAGTAAACCAAAGCTAATGAAATAGAAACCATAATTATACAGCAGTAGGTATTAATACAGTTATCCAGTGATAAGTATAAAATATTATACATAGAAAATTACTTAGAAATAATATAGTAAATTACTAATTTAGAAATAATTATGTAAATATTTGTAGTGAATTTGGTATTAGAGAACAAATATTATTGTATGAACAGATTACTTTCCTTTTTTTTATTATGAAATATTTTTATTAGAAAGTTGAAGTAGTTAATTTCCCTGTAAATATTTTTTAAAGATTATCCCATAGAAGACGCTTTAATATGGTCGATTTACCTATTTTGACATTGTTCTTGTTATTAAAAAAATAAATCAAACAAAAAGGCTAGCTGTCCACATACGAGTTGTTTGTCTTTAAAAGTATGTTCCATTTTTGTCATAAAAACCTTAATATCGGTGCTGCTATTAATTTACCTAATCAACCAATTTTAAAGCCAATTGGGAATTAGTAAGCCTTATAACCTAATTCCGCGTTGTGCAAAAAGTCACAAACCAAACAGTTTAATTAAAATTTACATACAAAAAAAATGAAATTTCTACCTGAACAATTATTTCAACTTTCTAATGTAAAATCTCATCCGAGCCTTATACAAAACATAAGTCTTTTGTCATTTTCCCTTATGTAATATTCATTTGAATTTTCGCTACTTGTTTCGCATTAGAATATGCTACTGTTTAATTAAATAGAGTAATAATATTTCTAAGCACAGAGGCATTTACTATTATATAATTCACGTAATAAATTATTATAGAATTTAAACTGTATTTTATATTCAAAACATTCCTCTTTCAACAGTGGAGTATGCACATAATGTCAAGGGCCATGTTGTTTGTTATTCTGAAGCCACCAGCGTCATAAAGCCTATTTTTTTTACCGCTCTAGCTAGCTCTTCCAAGCTATGATCGGACACATGTGAGCCTGCGTGATGTGTAACTCCCGTGGGTGTCGTAAGAGCTGACTAAGGGAGCAAACTAAGCAAGACTACAGCACTGAAAAGAGAAGGAAAACTTGAAACAAACCCTATACCAACCCGTCTGGCCAGCGTGGTATAGTAGGCCAAAACCTCTTTTCTAACGAGAGGTAGCTATGTGCAGCAATGGACTAGTAAAGGCTGTTGATGTGATGTGTGATGATGTGTTATAACTCCGGCCTCCGGCTCCTGCCTGTGACTTTTAAGTCGTAGGTTTCTACAGGCGGCTGTAGTCACCTAACACCAGGTGACCCATCTGTTTCTTTGCTCCCTTACACCAAGAAAATAGCGCATACAGTCAAATAAGGTCTGTGTGTTGTGTGCTCAGTGAAAATTATCTCATTTTTATTAGTCACATTGTAGTAGCGATAATGTAGCGTTAGAAATGCGTCGAATAAACCTGTCTTGAACACTGTTCTTAACCTAATATTGCGGATTCTAACAATTTGTATAACAGTTCTTAAGATAATTTTGACTTTTTTATAGATTTTTGAATATTGATGCTGACCGTACCACCTCAAGGCTTCTAAAGATTGGGTGATAGCTGCAGCAATTCAACATATATTTGATATAACTTGAGTAGAATAAACACGTGTGACTGCTTCAAAAATGTCCCCTAGCGGGACCGAAACTAATTGTAGAGTGGGAAATTATAAAATAACATCCGTAAATCATAAGTTGTTAAAATAACAAATATCATTCTAAAATTCAGTGATTTTCTAGAAGCTTCTTAGAAGCGCTATGCATTGCCCAATGGCTAAGCCATGTCCCAGCAAGTTACATTGGTGGCACGTAACAGAAGCAATTTTTGTTCAGATTTTTATCTCACATCGTCAGCAAAATTCTGTATAATATTTGTTAATCAATTGAGTAGTTTTAATGCGAAGCAGTTTTTATGCAGTCGTAATGTAGCGATATGCGGACATATTTATGTATACCTACTGTAATTGCCATTCCATTTTGGTAATAAGCTAATATCTCTGGTTAAAACGTAAACTACGTCTATCATTGATTCTTTAAAAGTTTTCACATAGTAGGTACCTACATATTTTACTAACCGACAGTGTGCAAAACCTTATTATATCAAAAATACTCACCGACCCTCATCAAGGCACAATAGCATGCCGAGTTAATCAATATGCCACTTGAACTCCGCTCGAGTGACTATCTAGGACCTTCACGATATAAATAAAATGCGTCCTTTAATGCCGATATTCTCACTCAATCAACGCCCGTGGGTACGTAAATAGATGGTTTCCATAGCAACGCCCTGTTCGCTAAATAAACTTCGCTTCGTTACCTGTCACCATGACAATGATATTCATTCTATAACAGTCAGCCGTGGTAACGATACAAAATGTTTTGGGGCATCAGTCCAGCTATTGATTTGCAAGAAGAATATTTAAAACGTGGCGATGAAAACGCCTACGAGCTCAATTTTCTCGTTATTGGGGGCTGCGATGGCAGACATCTCCTCAAGACGCTCTCTCAAGCGTACCGTCATAATAGGCGCTACATGAATATATTCGTCGTTGATGGATGTCCAGAGCTCATAGCCAGGCAGTTGCTTCTTACATCTATGGCGCTAGAGAAGACTACCAGATGTGGTCTCCTAGAAAAGACAAGACGTTACCTCGAAGTGTACGGGAACCTCCTACTACGTCCTTCTACATCAAGGTACTTGATTGCAAAATCTCGTCAGTTAGTTGGTATGGTGACTAATCTCGAGTACATGAATGGTCTTCTATCATGTGTATCTATAGAACAAATGAAGTATCGTGAACGTGACTATATGGAAAATCTTTTAAACTTTTGGACTACTGGCAATACTAATCAGTTCAACGCTTGCGAACTATGGGAGCATCGCTTGAGGCATAGCCTTGGCACGAGATACGACCACAGATTAGGAGTCTTCGATTGGGATTACCACATGAGGTTGAAGGAGATTGCTGAACGTATCTGTTTTCCAGAGTATAAACACTTTAGAGAACACGGTGTGTCATTCACGTGGCTTGAAACTGAAGTCTGCCGTCCAAATGTGAGTTTAGCAGCTGGCGTTTGTAAGTGTGGTGATAGATACTTGCATAGAGGCTACTTAGGAGATTTAGTAACTTCTCCGTATTTCGGATATGGATTAGATTGTGAAGATAAGGATATGTTAAAATCCTCTCATGGTGTAAACCACAAACGTGCTACAGATATAGCGGAGCGTAATGTCATGAGAATGTTGTACGAACTGGAAAATCGGGATAGTTTTGATGTGCATACCATGAATTTAGAAAATGAAAAGAATTTAGGCATGGTCATATTAAACGATATTGATGCTAAAATATCTGAAAGTGGACCAGAAGCGCCTTTACTACTGCGTGAAGATCGCGATACTTACATAAATGTCGATTACGGAAAACTTCATTTTCTATCCCTATCAGCGCTGGATCATTACCCACATAAGCCTCAGTTTCAGGGGTTATTCCATGGCGTATATGTTGGGCACAACATGATTGCCCGCGTGAAGCCCAGTGTGTGGTCCATGGCGAGGGATGATGCTCTAGTACTGATGGAGTCTAGGAAGTATATGGTAGAACTGAAAAGAGACGATGTTAAGGCATTTGGAGAACAGATCCAGCAAGCTGCAACGGCTGCCCAGTGTGAGAAGATCTGTTCTTTTGATCCGGAAAAAGATGATTTTGCCAAATTTCTGATCAAACGTCGGAGTGAGAGTATCGATGAGTCTTAATTAGTCGATTTACCATATTTTTATTTTATCTAATCCACATTAACTATGCATATTTGCTGCTGACTTTAATTATCGTAAAAGTAAAAATATGCAGCAATTGTCAGATTTGATTAATTAATCAGTGCGAAATATACTTATACTCATTAATGTTGTTTTATTTTATACCTCAATATTGCAATATTTGTAACTTTTTTTTGACATAAATTCTAATCGTAAGAGCAAATTACAGTACATACGGTCCTGGCGCTCTCTGGGCAGCGTTTTTTTGTAAGGGTGAAGAGATGTTGACAAGATTCACCATGGCAACAGTTCAAGTGGTTCAATTTTCTTGGTTTTAACCTTTTTATTTAAGACCTTTTATCATTAGCTAAGCTCTTAAATGCTGCTAAAGAAATGGTGACAGTAATTTTAGCTTACAGTGCTAGGCGCTAAATATGGCCTGTAGAAAGTTGACTACGTTTATTGAAAACTGATGGTTTTGACAAACGTATATATCGGTCCAGTAGTTTCGAGTTCCAATAAACAAGCCAGTGCCAGATTTGCAACGTGTATTGCCCAAATATAAATTTGAGAGGAGCGGAATTCTAAATGTTAATTCAACATTAGTAATTTGGAAAAATATGTGGAGTAAGGAGAAGGAATAGTAAAACAACGCTTAAAATTTGTGTTCATCTATTTTTTCATTAATAATATGTTACATTCATTTAGTAAATCATATAGCAAATATATTTACAAGGACAAAATCAAACGGAAAAATTACCAACGTCTCAACGTTTTTTTTCGTTTAAAATTCGTATTTTTATAATTACATAATAATATCACTTAACTTTAACATCTATAAATCAGTATTTTCGGTAGGTAGTGTTGAACGGTCTCTACGAATCATCTCGTACCGAAAAAATGTAATATTTGAGCAAGTCGATAATTCATATAACTTGTTCACACGTTATACTTAAAGTACAAAACATTCAATATTCTGTGTTCACAATTGAAAACTTCGACATACATGCTACGCTGTTACTCGCAACTGTGCTATGTTTCGGTACATTCGGGGTCAAACAACAGAGGTGGGTGAGAGCAACGTCACAATGTACAGGGAGGAGAGTTTCGTCAGTACGTCCGCGGAACGCTCGACAACAGGTGCACAGTGTGACGCTGGAAGGCCTCGTCATAGCACAGTACGGGAAGTAACTCCAATATACGTTACGAGAACTCGCGTCGAGAACAGAGCACTACCGTGAGCAATGGCGGTGTTCGGCGCCTTTCCCAATTGACGTTAGAGGCCGGCCGCCTGCGCCTGCGCCTGCCGCCGGCGCGCGCCGCCTGCGCGTGGCTGGCGCGAGCCGCCGCCCGCGACAGCCACGCGCAGCTACAGAGTATTGCAATCACATCTACCCTGTACGTGTTATAGTACTAATATTTACTTAAAGTTATAACGATTATCTAGAGAGTAATTTGGAAAGGGTAGGGCCTCGCGGCACCAGTGTTCGTCGTACCGGAGCGAGGAGCCCGGGCGGGCCCTCTCCACACATTATTATTTATTATTTAACTTCTACGAATACATCCGTGGCCGCGCCACCTAGCCTAGCGTAAACGCGAATGAAACGATAACTTTCTAAATTGTCGCAATAAAATAAACTTGAAAACTATAACATGTTACTTTAACAAACATACATCTCTGCACATATCAGTGTTGCGTAAATTCGTTAATTGAATACAATAATAATAGATATTCTGATAAAATCGAAACATTTAATTTTATTCACATTAAAGTTTTTAGAATATGTGTACGTTATGGCTAATACATGAAATTATTGGTGCACGGTGAGACGAGATCGCTGGATAGTTGTCTACGGGAGCAACGGACCGACAACAACACAACGCACTTAACAACACGGACATAACTAGTGACATTCAACCGTGTAACGCTCTCTGTTTGTCTCCTCGGCTCGTCCGTAGCGAGTGACGCGTGTGTGACGAAGTGGAACATGAAGTTGGGCGCATATTCGGAGAGGTGATAACAGTATGAAAGGGATTGAATTCTCTCCGGGGACGGTTGCATCTCGCCCTCCTTCTCACAGCGACGGGACGCGTAATTCTGACGCGTGACACTCGCGTGATAACTTGTAACTTAAAGTACTACAGCTGTAGAAATGATACACACTAGGACACGAGAGAGGTGTCGCGACGTCTAGCTGTCCGTTCTCCCGCTACCACGGGTTACATTAAAGCTTCGCTTATTAATTAGCCCAATTTGTTAATCGCCTATCTAATATGCAAGCTACTTGAGCTTCGTCTGTCGGAAGTGTTGGCGGTCGAGCTCGACGTCTCAGGACCTCGGCACCGTACAACTCGCTTACATCTACGTCGTACAACGATTGTCACTTAAAGTTACTTTAGACATACAACCTGCTGCACCTCCGCCAAGGAATGCGACTCGAACAGATATAAGAGTTATAAAGCGTATCGATTGAGTGAAACGTATAATACGGGAACACGTGAACGGAACAGATGCACCCTCCGGCGGCGCGGCAGCGACACTCCACCGACACTAAACCGACGGTTACTCTAAACGATCATAACTATATTTCAGTCATATCAATTAATATACAGTGCAATTAACATACGGTTTCGTTTTTTTTTAATATGTACAATTTCTATAAATTCTACTTTTATTTATTATATTATTCACAAGCGCGGCGCGATGTGGACCGGCCCTACTCTCCGAGTCACTATCTTTTATTAAGATAACCTACGCGTGAGAAGAATTATTGTGTTCTTTACTAACGGATAAACTATTTGTTAACGTGAGTACCCTAACAGTGCAAACAGAGCTCGATACGGCGAATACTAGTGACCTACGAGTGGGTACAGTGCGGGTCGCGTGCGTCGCGTATGTCGCTCGTGCTGCGTGTGCCTATGTGTCGGGTGCGTCAGGGGAGCGGGTGGCGCGGGGCGCGGGGCGCGGGGCGCGGGGGCGTCAGTGCGTGTACTCGGGGAAGGCGCCCGCTACCGGGCCGCGCGGCGCCTCGCTGCTGGAGCTGTCCGCCGGCGACGGGAAGTAGCCGCGCACCACGCCCGGGGCCGCCACCGCCTCTTCACTCGCCCACCGGGCTAACTGTTGTTGAGCTTGAATAAATTCATCACTAGAAAATGATAGAGAAGAGGAACGGAGAGGCGAGGCGCGGCGCTGTCCCGGCGGAACCCTCTCTGTGTAAGCGCTGCGGGCGGGGAGGAGCCCGCCGGTGAGCGCCGGTGTCAGTGTACATTAAGGCTATGTGGGTACTATATTATAGGTCACTTATAAGCTTTGATTTTTTTATAAAACAAGTGTTCCATTTGATTCCTTGTTTATTTTAATTTAAATACGAATTGGTTTTTACTCGGGTACTATCTTATTTTACTATAAGTGTGCAGTAAAGATTTACAATCATTTACTTATCTGTAAACAAAATTTGTGAGTGTGTTACCTACGGGAATTTGGAAAGATCCCTTAGGGGACGACCAATTGGGTTTTCGATTGTAGTAAACGTATCATATCTCACCTCTCGCTATCGGGTGCGTCGCGGAGTCGTTCCGCGTCAGCAGTTTCGTACAGCGCGTCGTCGTCGGGTGGCGGGCGCGCGTGCGGCGAGTGCGAGGCGTGGGGCACGTGGGGCACGTGCGGCGCCAGCGGCGGCAGCGGCACGGGCACGCCGCCGGGGGCGCCCCCCTCCGCGAACAGGCGGCCGTGGTGCCGTCCGCTGCCGCGGAAACGCGGGTAGCTGAAGCCTGCGTCCTCGCTGCGACCGCGACATCTCCTGCGCACCACCATAAGGATTTAATTAAAACCTCGTCAACGATCTTACATACTTTTTGAAGTAAAAACTTCTTTGGGCGCGTTGGGCATTTTTGAACAACAAACAAAAGAATGTATTTTTTGAGGTGGGAAAAAAACATTGAACTCGCGACACTGTTACCGTTACCGACACCTCTGTATATAAAAGTATCTACATATATTGGCCCCGTTTACACGAGAGTTGAGTTTGGGTTGAAATACATTGATAATATAAATATATATAATATAAACATATGGTGTGTATATACGTACAACATAAATAACTTCTGTTGGCACTCCCGAAGTTTTTTAAATGCATATTTGTATTCAAAAATATTCAATGAACAGCGTTTTTCTTTAGTGTACTCATGTTTAAGCAAGTGCAAACTGGTTAGATATCTTGAGTTAAATAAGTTAAAAAACTTTAGTCAAAAGAGTTACTCTGATGCATGCATGCATGCATGAAGATACTTTTAAAGATTCTTAAGGGAACGCTTAATTTAAAAGACGTTATACAAAAGTAAACTCGTGCAATTGTGAATACAAACTGTTAGGCCACAGATAGAAAATTTTAATCAAAATAGGTTACTACATAAAAGTGTACTCAGGACCCCAGGTTCCATAAATAAACAAACAAATTATACATATTTCTCTTTAAAATTAAAATAAAAGGGACTTCTTCAGAGGACTTTTTCGACGTGCAGGGCCAAGTAGTACGAGTATATTTTGCTTCTTGATTTAGTTCAATATAATTCGGAAATTGCAAAAGTAATTACCGAAGTAAAAAATACTTACGGTGGAATATCTCCTGGTTCAATTCGATAATGTCTGTCGGCTTCCGTTTCTGACATTCTGATATCCTCGGAACCTGACGGGCTCATGTGTCTGCTGGAATGATGTTCGAGTTGCCTGATTAGGTCTTCGAGGTTCCTGATCCTGATGGGTCCACACTGTGGTGGTTCGTCTTCCTCGTCATCAGCTCGTCGACGAAGATCGCCTTCGTGGATTTTCTCAGCGGACGGAGCTCGCTCTCGCTTGTACTCGTACTCCTGAAGCGCGCGAAGGTCACCTGATCCACTGGCACCTCCTACGCTCGCACGCTGTGCAGCTGCAGTCTTTAGAGCCACGATTATATTCTCGTGGTAACCATTTAAATCCTGGAAATAAGCAACATTATTATATAGTTGCTAGTTTTGCTATTTGACTTTAATTTATTTGAATAAAGTCCACCTCGTACAAGTTGTAATGCAGGAAGTGCATTTTCCCTTTTTCAGATTAAGTGAACTAAAATTGCTTAACTTATTGAAATTTAAACAAATTACACAAATTGAAATAAAATTAAAGTAATATTAATACCGTTACATTGTGACAACCATAAAAACCTCTTTATTTATTGATAGAAAACTCAACAGCTTTTTACATTATACATTCATATTTACATTAAATTAAATTTTTAGGCTTTTTACAGAGTTTCAGGACATTCACTATATAAAACTAGAAAATAAGGAATCTTATAATAATAATAAACATAAAAATACAATAAATAATCATAAGACATTAAATTAAATCAACTCAAACCGAATCAAATCAAATTCAACTTAAATTCAACCAAAATAAAAAAATACAATCAGAATTAAACAAAACCAATTTGATTTAATCAAAATAAATCAAACCAGACTAAACCAAATTAAATCTTCTTTATGTAGTATCTCGTCCTTTGGAGGAGTAATCCAAAATTAAACTTGACTCATAACATTAATGAACGTACCTTAAACTTATACTCCATATCAGCTACAGCTCCCGAAGGCTCCTGGCCATCTGACTGCGAACCAGCCTCAAGCTGCTCAGACTGAGAGTCGTCTGCCCACTTATCCTTGCCATCCACAGCGCCGTAACCATGTTTTTTCAGAATGCCTTTCTCCGGGAGCTTTGCCATTGTATTTGGAGCTACATCTATAAACGCTATATCTTCTTCACCTGAAATATAAGTAAATATAAGTTTAGATTCCTGATGTGTTTTGAGGTTATCTCATAGTAAGTTCGCCACAGGGGCAGTGGTGACAGAATCTTTAGCAGTTTGTAGTAAAAAGTTACAATTGACAAAGCACCATGTTCTATTGATTCCAGTTTCATGATTAGCGCGTGAGTTTAATGGCAAAGTAACACCATAATAATATAATATATATATAATAATAAAATATATTCTACCAAATACACACAACGCCATCTAGTCCCAAACTAAGCAGTGCTTGTACTATGGGTACTAGACAACTGATATGAATACATATACACTTTTTTTTTGTAAATACATACATATTATACATAGAAACACCCAGACCAAATCAAACATCAAATGTTCATGCACACAAATGTTTGACTTGAGCGCGGGAATCGAACCCGCGACCTTTGGAATAGCAGTCCGTTACACAAACCACTACGCCATCCAGTCGTCAAGACTATGCTAATGTAACCCTATCCAATTGATGCCACTCCAATTTTTTCGACAGCGACGAATACAATCAGACAATAACGTACTGAGTTTGCCCTAATTATCAATATCTGTAAAGCATTATAAAATACTTGTATGAAAGTAATGAGTTAATAACAATTATAGATAGTTCAACTCAGTTGTGCGCGCGGCCCTATGTGTGCGTGGGCTTGTAAATATACAACTTTCATTCGTGTGGCAGTCGTCGTGCGACTGCCGCGTCACTGCCCACGCACACATAGGGCCGCGCGCACAACTGAGTTGAACTATCTATAACAAACATGTGGTTTACACTTTCTAATGGCAACATTTTACAATTCGCCTGAGAATGATAACTTAACAAGATAATTTTATGGCTGAACTTTGGAGTTCAAAGTGAATCCAGGATATAACCGTATCAATATATGCGGATGAGATAGATTTATTCTATTACTCACTGAGTGGATACACAATAACAACATTAAGAATTATTTCTTATAAAAAATAAGTAGATGGTACAACACCATCGCATTGGGTTAAACCTGTAATGATAGTTATTTTAAATGGAAATAAATAAAATATTTCACTCTGGCAACAACATACAAAATACGTAATATTTTGTGTTCATATTTCGTGGTTCCAGAACATTTTCAAAGGCCAGCTATATTATCTGCGGTGTAGAAATCTATATATATATATAAGAGATTTCCACGTATATAGTCACTCATCACGATATCTCTGGCACCATTAGAGCTAAAGACTTGAAATTTGGTAGGAATATTCTTTTCACCGAGTCAGCTAAGAACGGATTTTAAGAAATTCAATTTTTTTTTTTAAATAATGTAAATAGCAAAATAACGTTTGCAGGGTCAGCTAGTTATTAATTAACTCACCTGAACCTATTGGGTCATCTTCGCTGCCAGAATGTATCCGTTTCGGTTTGTGATCTCTGTAACAGATGAAATAACACGTTCAGCATTTTCGATACTATTAGTTTTATCAAAGGGAAGGTAGTTTAATAATTAAATTAGTTAGAATGTATCTACTAATCGTCTAAATGCCAGCTAAGAGAGTTAATTAATATTGAACATTTAAATTGTTTCCTTTACTGATGGCAATTTGCTGTCTATGGTTTATCTAGAGACACAAGTCTTTGTATTACAAATCGTTATTCTCATTTAATGACTTGAATGATTAAATGAGAATAACGATTAATTATCGGTCAATGAATAATCGAACACTGAAATTGCAGTGACTGTGAACGGCACTCGTTAGAGGAATATGATAATGGAGTTCTTATAGCCTTAACTGAACGGATGGATCATAGATCTGGACAATATGTGGTTTGTAGAAACAATTCCTGAGCTCAAATCAAAGATCCAACGCGTCATCATTCAAAGTTTCATGAAAAGAGTAATGGCCTTTCATCAGAGCCGTGGGGTCCGGATATTTTATTTCATACTTAATCGGAACATGTCTTCTTTACAATCCAATAAAAATACGTGTTTTTATTTTAAAATTACAAAGTGCACTCTCACTGAGACACCCTCTAAAATATAATTAACCAGACTAGGAAAAAAACATAAAATGTTTGTTTCGTACGAAGCATAATTAAAAAAATATTTGTTTGGCCCTCCAATAGTATCGTCATAACTATATCATAATTTGGTTAAATACAACATAATTCATACTATAATTAAGTCTGAAATAATTCAAAACAGTCAGGACGATAGAATAATACTTTTTTCATAGTCAGGTCAATTTTTTAGGACTTAATAATTTAAAATACCTCCGCCGCTAAGCCCTACATAACACCTCATAGACAGGTTTTTTTTTAAATAACATTGAAATTGTCATGCCCATCGTCAACAAGAGCCAAATACACGTTCGTGCACACACACATGCTTACATTGAGCATTATATAAAGTCATTACCGTTCCCTTTCCCCGTAGTTGGGTAAAAATTTAATAACTTACGAATATCTGCCCGAGCTGCTGGAGCTGGACATGTGGTTGCCATGTCGGAAGATCACACGTTGAGAGTCTCCACGGCTGGATACAACAGAACTTTTAAAATATAATATTATTCGATACGAAATAGTTATAATAACATGAATATATCTCTTCCATGTTTCTACACACGGTTTGTGTTAAGCATTTTGAACACAAATCATAATATATCTATGTAATTCTATCTTTTTTTGTGATAGAAAAGACACGGATGATATGATGATTTAATATGATATTCAGTATTTATATTCCAGATAGTATTTTTAAAGTAAATTTATTAAAAACAGTTATGATATGTATGTGAGGTTAGAATAAAAAGTTTCGAAGTTCGGATGGTTTCGGATCTTTTTTCTAAGAAGTGAAGTGGTTGCCCGGGCCACAGGTGTAACTTGCATTTAATACGCCCGGTGCAAGCCCGCCCGATTTGTAAGGGCGTTCCTTTCTGCGCTAGTTTAGTAATTTTGCGCTCCTCCACGGTCTGCGCCCTGTGCCTAGGCACCGATGGCATGCCTCCAGTTATGTCACTGGCCCGGGCCCCCGTAAAATTCACTTGAGTCAAACGGTACATCTTTAATTTTAAAATGATTGATTTAAAATGACGTAAAAGCAAAATTTAACATTTTTATAGTTTTAAATAATTATTTTGAAAATGATCAATTATGACAAATTATGATTATTCAATAAAAATGATGACAATACATTTGAGATACTAGAATTTTCTGTCAATTGTCATATAAGTCATTTAAGAGTCATTCAATTTGTACAGACTCCACCACACAAGTAGCTGATTGATGTTTAAGATTCGAATAACAATGTCAATAATAAATAGTTTCTACTACCAAGAACTATCCTTAGTTGTAGCTTAATAGTCACATCGTTTTTAAACAAATATTTTCACAAAGAATGTTTTTAACAATATCCCATAAGCTTAAATATGTTCAGGCATTAAAAGGATATTTGTGGATAAAAAGGTACTCAGATACAAAACTACAAATTCTAAATACGTTTCTTTTTTTTTACATAGCCTCTTCTCTTGAACAGCGGTGTAAAAATCGTAGAACTGCATTGTCGAAACAGGAGATATCATTTCGATTACAGAAGTATTGGTTTTTATTGCCTAGAAAAAAATATATTTACAGGTTATACCTATTCTATACAATATGTAGATGTATCTATGGTGGCTTGTCTAAGTTGCTAAAAATGATATGTAAAGATTCGAAAAGCTTCTAGTATTTCATGTATATCTTCTGATACACTAAATTGAAATATATTTTACATAACTAGGTATTATTCTTTAAAAAAATTGAGAGTGCAAAGTGTAACTATGTGCCATCTTCTTCTTTTCTATATGAAAAAACAAAGAAAACCAAAGAAGCGTGTCACTTGTGTGAGTGCTCTCTCGTTTAGTAAACACAAACAAAAAATAGCAAAGTCTGCTTAAAGATCTGCTGTAGTCCAAAGCACTTTGGGACTTAAGCATTGTGAGCTAAAAGCGGAAATCGTGTGAGCGGAAATAAACAGCGGTGCGTAGTCATATCCACGCGAAGCTTTGACGTACCTTAAAAGATTTCTGAGTAGACGAGTTCCGTTAAAAAGAGGAAAGAAAATTTTATTTTGAGGATATAACGAGGCGTAGTTATCCATTACACTTAATTAAAACATAATGTTGTTTTTTTTTTTCAAATGTAATTTAGTAAATTTCATGCTCAAAAAAGAGGTTTTGACAAAATAGACTCGACTCGAAAAAGACAGAAGTTTAAGCTTGTATTTTTAAATAAAAAAATCTTTTCTTATGACGAGTTGAATTTAGTAAATTTATGGATTTAATTTAAACGGTTATACAATTTACAACAGAAAATTTAATTATTCAGTTTAATTTTAAAAATAAGGGCATATTACATTTACAATTTATCTTAACTTACTAATATTTTATGATTATAGACACCAAGATTGTTCAAGAAATAACAACATTTAGACGTTCATGAATAAACATAAAATTGTCGTCTTAATTTCTGACTAATTCAAACTGAATATTCGTTTTTTAAGCCAACGATAAAAGTCCCAATCTAAATATGAATTTTAAATTCAAAAGACTGTAGGGTAGTTATCAATTACGTCAGTGACAATTTCATTTTCTCTGAACGCCTTAAACCTACGAAACCTACCTAAACGCATTATTGAAGGAATGCTTTCCCCCAGCATCCGAGATGTCTTCCTGAGAATTGTTGGACGTGGTCGATCCAGCTGTGAAGTTCTTGATCATAGGTTTGTTGTTGGTGGTGTAAGCCTGGTTGTATTTACTGCGCGCCGTGCTCTTTCTCCTGGTGCAGGCGTGGCGTGGGAACGCACACTCAGATCAATCGATAAAGTTTACCAGAGTGTGTACGATGGCCAGACAACTGGTGCTGTCGACCATGGACGAGGAACAATAGGGGGTTCACCATAAATAATATCATTTTTTGTTATTAACTATTCCAATTTCAAAATTCTACAAGCAATGATCTTTGAAGTTTTCAGAAGTTTTTATTAGATATATCTAGTCCCCTTTTGTTCCTCAAAAGTTGAAATGTTGATTTGACTGGTGCTTTTGGATATTACAGACAAAATTCTTTTATTAAATTTTTGAATTGGACTAGATTAAACTTTTCGTTTCATTCCTCATGGGAATTGATGTTACATGAAAATTACAAAGAGATCGATATTAGCTTAATGATAGCTAGGATCCTTCCAGTAAAGAACTTAACAATTTGTTAGGTAGAATCATTCTAAGGCTAGGGTTTCTATCAATGTGCACTGTTTTGCTGGAAGGGTCCCGTTGGTCTTATATGTAACATTAGGCGTTGCTAACTAGATAGACAGCTGCTTGAAAGAAGAATCCGTGCATCGCACATTCGCTTCTCGTGCAAAAGTTAATAGAATTTAGTGGTAGTGGTAGTGATTGGTGACGTTAGAGTCGAGCGATCTATATCTTCTCCGGTCTCATACAAGTGTACAGTACATACCTCGGCGTGGCTCAACACCACGTACCGTCTAGCGTGTCGTCGGTTGTAAGTCGCGATACTGATACAGATCATGTAGTCGATACGTAGGAAGATATAGACGCGAGCGGCGGCCGGGTCACGGTCGCGGTCGCGGGCGCCCGGCCACACCGCTCCGACCAAGAAAGGAAACGAAAACGAGTCACAGTTCACATAAGCCAATGCATACATCCAAGAGCCCAGAATCTTAAGGGTTTGAGTCGAGGTGTCTCGAGTACAACGAGGAAAGCCTTGTCGGCATGCAGCGAGGCGGCCGGACAGGACGGTGCGCGCGTGTGTGTGTGTGTGCGTGACGTCACGTGACGTCACTAGCGGCGGTGGCACGCCGGCCCGGCCGCCGGCGCGGACACAGAACCACAGATCAAATGCAGTTGTGGCGCGACGACTCTAGCCGACGCGCCACCCGCCAACTCTAACTCTACGACCACAAAGTAAACGACATAAAAAACGTATGTCCAAAAGGATAAAATAAAAAATAAATAAAAACCAATCGCCGACGTAAAAACCAACAGAAACACCAACGCTAACGTCTAAAATAAACATACAAGTAATACGAAGGTGACGATTTAAATTTCTTCTTAAAGACTACCTTTGGTCTGTTTTCTGCTCACTAACCTTAGGCACAGGGAGAAGTTTTTGTGTACTACGACTGACCTGTAGCAGAGAGCGCTCAGGGCAAATACTATGAATACCCCCCCTACCACAGACATGAGCACCGCCACGAGGAAAACCGTGTTCGAGCCGTGGTAGTTCTCTGCGCCCAAACAAAAGGGTGTGAGTGGCGGCCGGCGCGCTCGGTGACGTCACGAGCGTGCGCGTGACGTCAGCGAGGGCAAGCGGCCGGCGCCGGCGCCGCGGCGGGGCTCGCGGTCGGCGTGACACGACACGACACGACAAGGACACGACACGACAGGCACGAGCGACAGACACAGTGCAATGACAACACCGATGTTACCGGCCGTTACCTGAAGCAGTACGCCATCCAGGCGAACCCCACGAACACGGACAGCACGACCGCGAGCAACAATATCACCATGTTCATGGTGCTCATCTTATTCCCCTCGTGCTCACCTGCAAGAGAGGGGTCCCGCGCGTTAGTGCGCCGGCACCGCCCGCTGCCTAGCGCCTATCCGAGCAATGCCTCCACGACTAATAACCAAATCTCACGGAACGCGGGCTAACGTGCGCCTAGTGTAAGCTGACATAGTTATTTTAACAAAATTATGTATTTTTTATGGCAACATTGATCGAGTTTGACGTCTGTAATACTGTCAACCTACATTAGACACACTGGTGTATTGAAATGATTAATGAATATTCAAGTTTATGTGGTGCGACGCGATACAGTGTTACACTCTTGGAAAGCGTAATTTTGAAAAGCAGTGCTCGGAATTTTTTTAACAATTTATTTAAAGTAGGGGGAATATTAATAGATACAGTACAAAACACCTGAAAATATAAAAATCAATTAGAGTAGAAATATTAAAATTATATAAGTGGATATTTAAATGTAAGTTGGAGGAAAATACAAATTAAATAACATAAAAGTATTGGAAAGCTGTCATTATAACTCATTCGATTATAATTATTACTTTGTTTGCAGATCTTTCAAGTACTAAATACGTTCTTGGAATCTAAAAGACTATGAACGGATAACGTGACGTATCTTTAAGATAAAAATCTGTTTAGGTCTTTATGAATTGTTGTCATGAAAACTTTCGTACATCAAGAGTATAAGAAGGGTGACAGCCTAGCTAGGTTTAAAGGTACCAATCGCACAAATTTCCCGGACAGATCCAGCATTGGGGCTCTTCTCCGGACTCCATCTGGGGCCTAACGTTATTTTCAAATGTTCATTACTTGCGAAGTTATTTTTAAATTTAAATTATATTATGCTTTTCGTGTAAATTAATAATAATTTTGCGTTGGCAACCCTAAAGCTGTTAGTAGATTTCAATTTTGACACAATGGACTGTAGAGATATTTAATTTCAGTTGACAGAGGTCCAAATATTGAATAAATTGATTACTGAATAAAAATGTCCAATTTTTTGGGAAAAAGACGGATAAACGGCCTTTTAAACTTTACTGCTTATTATATTTTACGACCTACGTCTGCTGAACATAAACGCTCCTACAGTTATACATATAATCAATATATCCCAAATAGAATTGGGGATTACGTCATCTTAACCGGTTGCGACTCACCATACGGTGTTTCCTTCTTGGTCATGTTGTAGGCTGCTTTTGTGGTATTCTCGGGGGTGTACGGAGTCGGTGAGGGTGGCAAAGCGTCGTGATGCGAGCAGTCGGGCCCAGTCCAGCCGCGATTGCATACGCATTTGTTTAGATTCGAACACATCTGGAATTACAAAAATTTCAGAAGTTTAATGTCAATAAATATAGAATTTATAGTATAGTAAATATTGGATTAGACGGTGTTATCCTTATTTTACAGAAAACGCAGGCGTTAATTTTGACTGCACGAATGGCGTAGTGGTTTAAGCGGTCGCCACGCCGCTTCCTGCTACGCCGAGTGTTGTGGGTTCAAACCCCACATGGGACGACACTTTGTGTGATCCACAAATTGTTGTTCTGAGTCTGGGTGTTCTTTGTGTCCGTTTCATGTATGTTTGTAAAGTCCTCCGCGACACAGGATATATTCCTAATGCGGGTGTTGTCTTTTTTAAAAATAAATAAATAATAATTAAGAAGTTAATTGTTTAGTACATTTTCTAAAAAAGGGCGTCAACTCAAGAGAGTCAACGTGGGTGGTACATTTTTAGCATATATATATATATATACTGTTGTATAACAGTGAACAGTATATATATATATATATACTGTTGTATAACAGTGAACAGTCAGTGTGACAAAAGCGAAATATAAACCGTAGTTGTATAAACGTAGTAGTACTCGTATCTTCAACGTTGTTTGTGCTAATCTTACGAATATTATAAATAAAACAGTTTGAACAGATGATTTATTAGCGAAGCGAAATTGTGGTAAAAGTCAGCAGATTTTAAGTAAATAATATCTATGAATGATTTGCATTAAAATTTTAAGAATCACGTGAAAACAGCTACATTGACCTGCACGCTTCTAGTTAATATGTTGACCTGTCCAAAATCAGTCAAACATAACTCTATACAATAACAGTTTAAGTACTGTTTATGGAGCACTAAAGAACTACTATGCACTTTTAGATTCCTAGATTCCTTTGATTAATTCTAATAAAGAAATGTCTTTCAAATATGTTCCTGTAGCATAATTACAATAAAAAAATTCTTCCTTAAACCTTTTCCAACATTCAATATTTAAATAATCATATAGATCATCCTCATATATAAAATGTTCTTAAAATAACGGGTTAAACTAAACCCATTTCGTGGCACAAACGGATCTCTAACTCGGATGTAGAATTATCGAATCAATTCCGGACTTAGACAAGTTTTAGCGATATTAAGGAAATTAATTTTGTACTCAAATCGATTGGTATTACCTAACGGCCACAAATTGGAAGCTGGAGCTGGTACTATTGTTAACTCGCTTGGTTTCGTAAGTGAGAAGCTTTTGGGATTATTGCAACATGTGAATTGGTTATGGTTATACGGGCCCATGTGTGCAGTAGCGGCTGTGGCGATCTTATTTTGAGATGCAAAATTGCTAGTCTGGTTGGATGAAAGTAAAATAATACAACGGTTATTTTTGATGTTATTTTGAGTTAGTTTGAGTAGATATATCATTATATTAGATAAAAATTATAAAGATGTCATATATTTTGCGTTCGATAATGATGTTATATACTTTACGTTTACGTTATATATGTTACGTTCATAGTGTAACAATTGATGTTCTTCTTACCTTAATTTTTTCAAATAATTGAGCTGGCGTCGGGCAGGCTACTAGCGGTAATAGGAACCGGCCAAGACCCTACGCAATGGCAGGCAGTATGACGATGATGATCATATTATGTATGTCAATGCAATATAAATAAAATACCCGAAATTGTTGTATGTGCCTATCATAGACTCATATTTGCCCATTTAGTAATATGTTTAGAAAAAAGTAAATAATTCCTTATGGTCACAGTGCAATTGTTACCCCCACCGGCATTTACACGTTCCTATTTAAAAATATATCACTCTGTGACCAAGTCCATCAAGTCCTTTTAATGTGGTATATTTATTACTTGCAATAGTTATTGTGTGATGCGTAGAGATGAACAAAGTGTAGTGAAGAAAGTTTTACGTAACCAAGTTGACGGATATAAGAGTAGAGGACGACCAAAGAAAAGATGGATAGACTGCGTGATAGAAGATTTAGCTAGAAATGAAGTAAAGAGTAAACGAGGAAAATGGAAAAAGAAAACTCATTTGCCGATTCCAAATAAATTTAGGAAAAAGGGTAAGAAGAAGAAGAACAGTGATTGTGTATATTTTATATAGACGCTCATGAAATTACCAGTAATCATTTTTCTTAGTTTTTGAAAATTTTAAATTTCACATCTTTCGAGTCTTTCGAGTTTCGAGATCTAATACCTGACACTCCTGACAGTAAATTGGTAAATTGATAGTACATAGTAATTACTTTATAATTAGGTCGAATAGAGTTCTATCTCCATAAATGTAATACCCACTTTACCGTTAACGTTACTTTAATGTTTAAAATGTGTAGCAAATTAACACCAAGTACAAGATTATAAGAAAGAGTGCTAGTTTGGCTCACCAATGGTCCCCTTTTTGTCTGTTTTATTGATGAGGTGGAAAATCCCTTCGGATCTACTGCTCCTCGGGAACTCAGGAGCCAGGCGTATGTGGTGATTCCACTAATAACCACCCCGACGGCCGGCCTGAGATGCCCTACTCTGGGAGCTCTCGGATCAAGTTATTTCAGGTCCTCACCTAATCGACACCATGCCTAATCAGGCCCTATTCCAGGGGAAAACACTTCCCCCCTTCAATCGCGACGTGGTGACCCAATTGCGTCTTATTGCAATCAGGCCGTCATCCTATCCCGTACCGCAGCAATCAATCTGCCACCAGAGGTCCCCACCCTCTGGCTGCCCGCGGCACCGTCGACGGCTTATATCGTCGCCGACGTCCTCTCCCGATCCCGTTCATCAGCGGTCTCTTTCTGAAGCATTACAACTATACAGAAAGAGACCACTGCGCCCCATCCCTCCTCACCCGACAGCATGGCAGCAATGATTGCTGGAGGTCTCGTCCGATTTGGTCGACAAGGACTTCGCGTTTAGACACCCCACGCGGGGCAGTCTTCGTGTGCTAGGCGGAGTCCCAGTCGGCTGCGCAGTGCTGGCATTGTACCGTCTCCTCGCGTCCAATCCGATTCAACAAATGAATTAAATGTGAATTGATGTCGAGTTCCAGAGGTAATTCAATTCTATGTGAATTGAGTTTTGGCACAAATTGACGACGAATCTGATGCGCCGCCAAACGGAGCTAAAGGGCGATGGATGGACAATTGTTGAACTGTATACTACCTCATATTTATTCATGTCCAATGTTTATGAGTTTTATTGGTCGATCATTTTGAAGGCTATTGTTTATGTGTCGCAAATTGATAATTCGTCATAAGTTTTCGTTACCAAATTCTGCTAACCAAAAACATGTGTCTTTTTTTTTTTATAAAAAGACAACTCCCTCAGTAGGAATACATTCCTGTGTCGCGGGGGAGTTTACAAACATACATGAAACGGACACAAAGAACACCCAGACTCAGCACAACAATTTGTGGATCACACAAAGTGTCGTCCCATATGGGGTTTGAACCCACAACACTCGGCGCATTAGGAAGCGGCGTGGCGACCGCTTAAACCACTACGCCATCCGTGCAGTCAAGTCAGTATTTCATAATATGTTTTAAAAATGTAATGTATGTATGTATATGTATATATGTATATGGTTGTGGCTTGTCAGTTGTTACTGGGATGCGAGTACACTGAGTACGCGTCACTGAGTTTGAGTTTAAACGAATTACAAAAGTCCATAGATTACAGTAATCGTCCGTGTGGTGACGGATTAAGAATACAAATTGTCACCACCCCAATTCATCCCGTGGGTGTCGTAAGAGCCGACTAAGGGAGCAAACTAAGCAAGACAACAGCACTGCAAAGAGAAGGAAAACTTGAAACAAACCCTATACCAACCCGTCTGGCCAGCGTGGTATAGTAGGCCAAAACCTCCTTTCTAAGGAGAGGCCTATGACCAGCAGTGGACTAGTATAGGCTGTTGATGTGATGTGATGTGTGATGGTTGTTGGTTGTACTCTTGTTTGTTGTTGACGTTGTGTTAAAATGACTCATCTTGGATTTAGTTAGGGTTAGCCTGAATCCAAGTCATAAATAAACAATAAAATATTAAGGTTACAGTTATCAAATAATAGGGTTGCTACAGCAGAAACCACTATCCTCATTTTGATCTTGCATCAAAAGCGTTGAAAAAAATTGTGTCCAACTGTAGGCAAATCAATTCCATTCTATTAACGGCTGTCTTTATGCATGAACACTAGTAAAGTACCATGATGTATGGTGTAAAAGGTAGCTATCAGGCACTCTATCATAGTAAAGTTGGATAGTTTTGTTTGTGTTTAGTCATTTTAAGAAACGAATTTATAATAAATACTTTATTTATTTATAATGGAGCTTCTATAACCATATTCATTTAATATTAGATAAACCAACAATTATACCTAAACATAATCACAAACTACATTCTCGAACAATGGAAGCACGTGACGAATTCACCAGCATATTAAACAGTAAGTAAGTCTTGTGAGCGGAGTACGGAGTCAGTATTTAAACTATTTACGTGCTTAGCTCAACTATTCGGAGGTCGTAATACAATTCGTGGCACCGGCTCTGCGACCAATCCGATTTGGCCGAGAGTTGCCCTGCCACCCGACACACCCAAATTTTGTTAAGGCGCCACCGGCATGTTAGGATTTCGAGAGTTTACACGGTTATATTTTGAATTTGAAATATCGCTTTTTAAAGGAAATATGAATAAGATTAAACGATCGGCATAGGCAAGAGTATTGAATGTACATATGTATTACTTATGACATCTGCACTATTAGTTCTTATGTGGATTCACAACTTTGATTGTGAAGCTTGTAAATTGTTAGAAGGTCGGAATCTGTCCTGTCGTTTAGGCGCTAATAGGGTCACCCTCTGTTACGTTCGGATAAAGAATGGAATCTGTGACACGGACCATTAAAGACAGGAGAAAACTTAAGTCTCCGAAACTACGCAACAGATGTTACCTTAACAATATTTAAAGAAATGTTGATATAAAAAGAAGCATGTGTGTTTATTACAGACTTATGCTTTGTAGGGTTGTT